AAAATTTGGGAAAAAGTATCTAAAAGATTCTCTAGGCATGATATTTTCTAAAACATCTTAGAATAGTTTAAAATGGCTCAAAATTGCAATTTTTTTTCCAAGGGCGAATGAACCCCTACAAGAGATTATCAGACCCCCTTACAGATAGTTAAGCCCCTCCTGAACATATCATACAGCTACCACCAGCTGGAAAATTATTGTTGCTCCTTAATTTTCTCAAAATACTCTGATTCACTTTTTATCAGGACTAAACCACAAATCAATCAAGGTATGTTTGTGAATTCCTATTGATAATCTAGAGTAAACACTGCTAAACACATACAAATGAGTAAGAGTAAATCAAAAACATATCGATGAAAGTTCTCATCCCCGACCGCAAAACCAAAAATGGAGCCGCACATTTCAAAATTTGGATTGTGAAATACTGCATCAGAAATTCAGACTGCGACCTTTTACAGTGACTTAAAAAAAATTGACTGCAAGATATCAGAAATTCATTTTAAAAACAAAATTTTAAAATGCTCTGTGAAATGTGTGATTCCCTAGTGAAAAAAAAATAAAACTGATCAACATTGGCCAAGAAAGATCAGCCTGCTACATTTTGAGAGAATAAAAAATGGCCTTAAAACGGGGCACTCACTGTGGCCGACGTCAAGGCTGAAAATTAGTGGTTGCCCGGTCGCCAGTGGCAACCTTTTTTGGTGTCAGGCAATAATAAATGTCTTGGGTATCACAAGTCTGGCAACCCTTACTGGGTTCACGCTAACCGATTGCCATGGGTGAAAACTACAGTATTTTGGATTGGCGAAAAAATAACCAACTGCTTTTAGCCATTTTGGCAAGGGCTTAAAATCATCTAAAAGTTTCAAATACTTGCTAAAAAAATACATCGGTTTTTTTTTGTTCGAGCTCCATTTTTTGCTAATCTATAGCCATGCAAAGTTTATTTGTTGTTGTATAGGTAGTCTAGCTGTAAACATCATTGCATGCTTCGCAATTTGTTATTTTAATGCGGTGGATACAGGGCAGTGGCTGTATGACGACTACATGAAGGTGATCACCTCATGTATGACGACTACGTGAAGGTACTATATTCACTACAGCCGGCTAGCTGGTATTGTACCCTTTGGGCACAAACTGGCCTCAAAGTAGACCTAAAGGCAGCCGACCATCGGGTACATAACAACAAGTCCGAGCTTGTGTTCATCCATGGAGAACTACTACCTATGCTTAGATAGAGGCCTATGCTCACGATGGTGGTAGAAATGTCATTAATAATTATTTAATCAATGATTTTGTGTTATGTGTGTAATATTTTAAGAATGCACCACGTGGGTTGCTTTGTTACACGGTGTAGGTACTTGTGATGGCAGTAGGCCTACTGTAGTTAGGTAGTAGTTTAATCTCCCAAGGCTAGGCCTACTGTAGGTCCAGATCATAAATCCTTGATCATCGCAGTGAAAAATTTGGATGACAGACGATTGGGCCTATTTCCAGACGATGAGACCCAAGCCAATTTTTAATAATCCTTGTTGGGACTTTATGTCCTGATACATGCTGAAAATGCATAAAATACAGGTTTTCTGGAGACACTATGGTTCCACTAACTCCCAAAAGTAGGCTATTTTCCTTTGCTCCATGACCACCCCCCCCACCCCCAATATCGTTCTAAGCTAAAATGAGAATACTATAGGCCTACACCTTCATATTTTTTTCAACTTTTGTGTTATATATTTAAAAAACTTTCAAATTACTGTAACTCGTTGGTGTGCTAAAAATATTAATTTACCTACAGCATCAAATTACATTATTTTGATTGCCAATCTCTAATGTGGTCTAAAATCACAATTTTGGGCCATAAAAATACTTCTGTCGATCGTGAACTAATACAGTACAGTACAATGGATTTTTTCTGGCACCCTAACCAGACTCTTGACAGTTCGGACTAATGATTTTGGCTAAAGACAGATTCAATTGGCTAAAGAAAATTTTTCAACCAATGTCATCTTGCTGGTTTTACTGATTTTGTTTTTTCGTAAAATTATATTTCGCACCGTAAAAAAAAATAGGGCCAGCATAACTTTGGAAGGGCCAGTATCATTTTTTCCTTACTGGCCCTGCTGGCCACTATGGTTTGGAGGTTCATTTTCAGCCCTATGACGTTAGCCACAATTCTACTGAAAATTTAATGCCACGACATGTGTGCAATGGATCGTTTTTAATGACGATCCATTCAGACTACCACCAACAATTAGCAGACGGCATTGCATCATCTAGCGCTTACAGGGAGCGAAGTTGGATTCGTCAGCCGACGGTTCTATGTAATGCAGCGCGTGTCCAGCTTAAGTCCAAAGAAGGTTAAGATAATATGAGCTAGTGAACTATAGTAAGTACTGTGTATTAAAAAAAAAAAAATCCTGTCATATCAACTGCTTTTTGCATTGTGGTTTATTTTATGCCAATACACTGTGTGCTTGTCATTGACCTTAATTGTGAGTAAAGCAACAACAAACAAAAACAATTAGTACCAGTGAAGGGCAGTTCCATTATTATTGAGTTAAAGTGCTTTCATGCTTCTTCAGAACAATAACAATTTATTCCCTTTACACTCTTGTTCCTATAGCAGACCAGTGAGAGCTAGCATACTGTAATATGTACTTAAGTTATATGTGTCTCAGGTGTAGAATAATCAGCTGATGTACTATGAGGTACAGTACTAAGGTCAGACATATTTAAACAACTGACAAATTACTGTATTTCAATGACATGACATATTAAATAACTATTATTAAATTACCAAAATATCATTAATATTGTCAGATTTTTTTTTCTCCCATCCTGATTAGATAACAAAATACATTATTCAATGTAGAGTTGAACTTCTCATTTAGAAAACTAACATCCCTGTACAATATCTCTACAATAGTGTGCATGTGATCAACAATGGAAATAACATGATGTTCGACAATTTAATTGCTAGAGGAGAAAACAAAAATTTTATTGGTGAATGTAAAATAGCATGGTTAAATGCTTCAAATTTATATAATTAGAAAGAAATATACATATCTTATCTTTGGAGATTTCATGGCAGAGTAGGGCGTAATAAAAATAAAAACTTTTTAATGAAATCTCCATTTTTTAGTGGCGGCGGGGTGCAATAATTGGCCAAAAATAAATCAAAATCAATATTTGCAGTCGGCGGGTTTGCTAAAAAAGGTACAGTCTTGCCTTAAGCAAAAATATTAAAAATGTAATTTGATTTCAAATTGATAATTGAAAGTATGGCCTACTAACCAGTAACGGCTCTAGGATATATTGTCTGGGGGGACTAAGTTGTCCGACAGGGGGGACTTGAACTCGTAGGCTCGAGCTGGAGGAAGGGATTGAGAGGGGGTTCCCCCTCCCAAATGAGATTTTTTTGAAGAATATTAACCTCTGGATGGCCTAAAATGGCACTCTCAGACTGTGACAGACATGTGTTGGCTTGGTGTGGGCCTATTTTTATGTTTTATTGTCCAACTGCCCGACGAGCTCTGTCCGGCGGGGAGGGGGACCCTGTCCGGTGGGGAGCTTAAGCCCCCCTGCCCCCTGCTACTAACTACTTTTTTCTTTGATATACTGTAGTTTAAATACGTCATTTTTTAATAAAAAATTTTCACAGTAAAACAGATGCATGTGAAAGAGTTAATAAAGTTTTACTCATTCTCCCAACTTTAAGGTCAGAGAAAAATTGCTGTTACGGCCCCTCCTTACATGTTCCTTGGAAAAGGTACATTATAAAAAGGCAGAAAATTTATAAAAAATATTTTAAAAGGGAATGTTATCCACATTCTACTGAGGAATGTATAAGGAGGCACTAACAACTCCCACTACAAATACCTCACACCAACCTCCCCTCCTCTCCTCCCCGAGTGCTGAGTATTCATTTCATCTTGCATCACTACAGTGTAGTACAGTAGGCCTATAGTGGGAGTCGCTTATTAGAGATTTCCAAATGCTGGTAAATCAACATTATTACTTGCTGCTTCGTCTGTACAGCTAAGTAATGACTAAATATACTGTAGCCTACTTGATCTACTGTATGTTACATAAGAGGTAATGTTGATGTTTTGATACAATTCTTTAAACTTTTGAAGTTTGAATATAATGTTCAAATGAAAACCGATTAAAGTATACAACTGGAATAATTAATAAAATTGGAAACGATTTGGTCAGTAATTGAATTTTTAAATAATGAAAATTGTTTTTTTTCAATTGTGGAACATGGCCTAGCGTCAGTAAAAATCAAGAAACGAGGTCATTATTATAACCATTGCTACAGTAGATCAGTTAAACTTAATAGCTTACTACCTAAAGATTTACAGCTATATTTCAGATAGCTATACATGGTTATATAAACCAATATACAGTAATAACCTGCAATAATTGCAACAGCCCTTATTATAGTGCATTCCACAAAAAAAAAATATTACACAATTAATCAACAACAAAAAATCAACAATTTTTGCATGAAAAGTATTAATGGTATCAGGTACATTTGAATAGGGGAAAAAAAAGCTGCTTGTTATATTTTATTTATATCTTATGTATTGCTCATAAACTCAGTTTTCGAGATAAAAGTTGACATTAGGTGAGGCTCCGACTATCTTTGCTGTTTGTCAAATTATTTTTGTCATTTTTTCTGGCATATTTGGGTGAATAAACAATGTATTATAATATGATCAGTAAATTCAGTTTGAAAATATTCATTTAAAAAATAAAACTTTCGGTAGTAATAGTATATTATAGAGTTGATCATTTACACTTCTCCAACAACTGCATTCCTTTTTCATTTTCAATTTTTGGCATGACCTACTTCCCAAATTCCAGCTCTATCTCATACGTTAACCGTGAACATCAACATGGTCGGTCTTCAACACAATTCATGCACATAACATAATACTTAGGATATGAGAAACCTTGTTCAGGTACAAGAATGGCATATATTTAGCCAAGTCACATAGGAAACAACAAAGTTATTTAAGAAACACGAAGTACCAGTATACATACCCTTGTTTTCCATCACTATCATGCGATAATTCTCCCGGTGCCCATGGTCCGTCACTTCCTAATTCATTTATCAAGCCTTCTATAGAAGATTGGTTTCCTATAGATTCTTTCTTATCTCTTCCAACTTTGGTATCATTAACCTTATTCTTATTATCAGTAGTTCCTGTACTTTCACTGCCAACAATATCTTGACCTGGTAAATGCACAGAACTAGCAGCACTGGATGCTTCAGAATTTGTAGCATCTTTTTCACTTTTATTTTCAACTATACTATTTACACTCTTTGTATTTACGGATTCGTTAACATTGACATTAGTTACAGGTGCATGGAAGAAATCTTTACAGGTCCATCTCCCCTTTAGTACAGGCTCAACATGAGCAACTTTTACTACTTTGAAACGAGATGGCCCATTCCCATTGTTTGCTCCCTTTTCTTGCACAGAAGCTTTGGAGCTTTTTTCTTCTAGTGGGGGTGAATTGGAAGGTTGTGGTGATAAACTTCTAAGAGATCTTTCTAGATCTGCCGTACTTTTGGATGTATCAGAAATAACTGAAGTATCGTCTGCTCGACTTTCGTCAAGCTCGTCCATACTATCGTTATCTTCATTGTTTACACCAGAATTGTCTGCTTGTTTTACACTAGTGATCTGAAAATAGCTCTTTTTTCCTTTAATTCGGTTGGCGAGTTCCGCATTTTGGGGATCAAGCGGATCGTTTAGAGCATCTTCTTCCATTTTTGTGGAAGGGACAGCCAAGTTGGCCTCCTCCTGGACTCCTCCCTCTGGTTTGGCCATTCTCGACCACAACACTACGACTACCTAAGCAAAACCACTCGTTTTCCCTCGTCTGCGATGAATTCTCCACAAAAGTAACAATCCATTGTGTTCAAACTGCTTACTCCGCCTCAAAATTATTCCTTGTTTTTCAATACCAGTATCTAAACACATAATTTGGGGTGTTTTCCAAGTGCTTTCATTTGAATTGTAGTTCCACCATGCCCAATTCCTATTCAAAAGAAAATGGCGTTTCTAGACTTAAAAACATACGTTATTTTGTTTTGTTCATCGACTGCTGTGTCACCTCGAATCATTTCACGGCTGGAAAATTAAGGCTATATTATTTCCTTCACTGAGAGGATAAAGAACATTGGGAAATTATTGTCAACGTATAATATCGTGATGATCCCCTAACATTAAGGGATCGTCTTCAAAACTACAATACATTAAAGCCAAATTTTGCTTGCTAATAAATACTAAAAAGGCCGTTAATCATTGATTCTCATAGGTATATTAAACAAAATATACGACCATATAAATACTTAAAGTTTCAGTTGTTGTTAGCATTACAGTATGAACGTAATGCTAACGGTTGGGCAACGTAATTCAAATACTTGCCTGAGGGTTCTTTATTTGACAACACCTATATTTAAATAACAAAGAGAATACAGTATTTCTTCTATTTTTTTATACGTTGGCTTATCATCTTGATCTACATTGCCTCTGGCTATACGGTACTTACATATTTAATAAACATATTGAATGTCAGTTATATAAATATATATTTCTATTCTGTTAATATTTCTATGCATAGCTAATTTTGTTTTGATTTTTAATTCATAGCTTACAATTGCTATTTCTTTGTGTCTTAGTCTTTTTTCATTGTATATTTCATTAAGATATCAGGATTTCATAAATATTTTTATACTTACAATAATTTTGTCTTTATGTTTACTTTTATGATTATCGTTGTATTCAGAAATTCAATATTGGGTGGAATATTCAATAAAAAAATTACTGTATTTATTTATTTATTTCGGTATAAAACATAAATATACAACAAGCAGCAAAGGCTCAAAGAATTGCATTTACAGAGTTATTGAAATATACAGTACATTAAAATTATTAAAAGGCAATATTTAAAAAAAAACATCAATATAACAAATTAAGATTCAAGACATAAAAAAGGAGTCCACTAAAAAAAAACAGAACAGTTAAAAACACATTGGAAAAATAATAAAAGCAAATACAAATAAATTAAAATTGCACATACAAAGGCCAAGGAGAACAAACTCATTATCAGTAATCTGTAATTAATATAGTCACAGTGATTAATGAATAGTCAATTAATTCATATTAAAAATTCGTGCAATTAATTAATATTAATAATGATTATTAAGATCATGCCAAATGATTATTATGGTGCAAGTTTCTACAAAATGTTTAATACTTTTAAACAAAATATTTTTATAGTATTTTATGAACGTATTAAAATGTTTTCTGCCCAAGAGAAATTAATCTATTTGAATTGGGCGAAAGAAAAACGTTATCTTATCTTAATTTGATCATTTAATAGTCTTTAATTAGACCAGAAACAAACTAACTTTAGAGGAACATGGATATATTCACTCGATTTCATTTTTTTTCATTTACATGTGACGAAATTAGATAGGCCTAATATACGGTACCAATTAGTATGAAGGATGTGGCGGGAAGGGTGTACAGCAAGGAGGAGGGATATTCATAGGCCTATTAATATTTTCGAGAGTACAAGGGGAGGGGATGTTTTTTAATGAAATAGTCAACTGTAATAACAAAATGGGTTACGGGTTTATCAGGCATGCACGTGCACAAGCTCAAAACCTTCATTCTCACCCTCAGCATTCCCCAGTCCCTAATTGACAGAATCGTCATAGTGGAATTTCATAAACTCACATTCTTATATGTGTCTTATAATGCGATGATATGACCATGATCATCACACACTACAAATATCTAGTCAACTGTATTCAACATTACAATATTTGTGTCCACAAGAGAGGTGTTTGGACACAACACATTTCAGAAATTATTCCTAGACCAGTGAAATCGCGTAACATCGGAAACTGTTGTGAACCATTTTCTTGCACTAAATTTATGAATCACAACTATGAGTGACGAGGGATTCCAAGTTAGACACATTTGCAGACGTGAGAGCTTTGAAAATTCCGCCGCTGGGGTATGCAGTCGAAACCGCTCCCCCGCCTAGTCCCTTCAGGATCTACATTTTCCCTTTTGCTTGTGAATAGAAATTTCATTGCGTCTTCCAGTGGCCAATTGGGAATTTTTGATGGAGGGGTGTGAAGGGCTTTCACGAAGGGTGCACCCACCTCAGTCCAACGATGGTTGGGACTGAGGTAAGACATTTTATGCCCGGGTTAATTTTAATATAATTTTATATGTCCACTTGATTTTTTTCACTCTGGCACTGCGGGCGTACTTCCTGTGAGTCCTTTGATCAAATTCGCGCCTGCGCGTTAAATAAAACGACATTTAAAGAAGTAAGATTTCACACTACTAGGACGATTTGATAACGATTTATCGTGTATACGATAAAACTATTTATACAAAGTAAATCAAATGACGACATAATCATAGATAGAATCGTTTTTACAACTACGACTATGACGTCATTTGATTTGATTCGTGATTTTTTTTTTTATCGTATACACGATAAGTCGTTACCGAATCGTGCAATTGCTTTTTAGCTTTTTATCGTTGATCGTTATCTTCATAGTGTAAACAGGCCTTAAGCCGAGTTTTCTAATACGGGGTAGGAAACAAGGGGAGGGACCCTTACCCTGACTCTCGCACATAGGTGTCCACAGGGCAGGTCCACAGGGAGGGGTCCACAGGGAGGTGTCCAATTGGAAAACCTCCCAAACGCTCAGCAGACTCGACTATTGAGGGTTTTCAAATCAGACAATACGCTATTTACGGCATTCCTATTAAAAAATTATTATTTATTATCATTTGTTGCTATTGTTTTTAGTATTATTACTATTATTATTATTATTATTATTATTATTATTATTATTAGTATTGAATTTTTTTTTCAAATTTATTAGCTGAACGGCAGTTTCAAGGTGCCTTTGAATAAATTGTAATGACAACTGTCGTGCAGCATTGCGTGAATGTCACTTCCTGGTTATCCTTCAGAGAAATGTCAATATTAATAAAATAAGGATGGCTGATCAAAGTCGTGAACCCATGACATTCAGTCGTAAAATCAAATAATACTGTATAGTACATGTGTGGTCAGATTCTAAGTGAGCCCGCCCTCAATGCATCTATCTCAGTTCATAGCGTCTGGATAAACTCAGGCCTTCTTCACTCCGAACTAAAATGAAAAAACCCTTACGAAAGCTAATACTCATATTACGGTTACGTTACGTGATAAATATTGAAGGCGTTGTGAATGTCTATACCGGTATCAACCAACATAACGGAAAACATCAATCATATTTCGTTCTATAAAATGCTTGTTTGTTTATTATTGATTGATTGATTGATTGACTGATTGATACCGTAACTTAGGCCCTACCACGAACGCTAGAACTAATCGTTGACAAATAAATGCCTACATTAATATGAGGCAATTTGTTGGACTTTCAAATTAATTTGCATTATAACACAGAATTCGAAAGAATAAATAAAACGACGAATGAATTCGTTACACCCCTTTTGTAAAAGAGGGTTCCAATGCATTTTTCTTCAAGCCCTGTTGATGGTTAACTTAAAGTTTACTAATACCGGCGAGGCTCATTTTCGAATGAGAAGGTTAATATAAATATTTTATAAATATTTTAAAAATATAAAACATAAAACATTAAATAATGGTAGTTATTTTAGATTGCTCAAAAACCGACGTGGGAAAATGTAGGCCTTACGTTTGTATGGTGTTTGTATATTGTTCATGTGTGTTAGCTTGCATCACCTTTCTTTTGCCTTAAGTTTTGAGTTTAATATTGCTTTCAAGTTTTTTTACATGACTGAACAGTTTCTTTTTTTACTTTAAATACCTTAATGTCCCTTTTAAAAATTGGAATTGCCAGGTATATTCCTGGTTCTCCAAGGCGCTTTTCCCCTGGTCATTGAGTACAGAATCAATCATACCCAACGTGCAACCTCCTCCCTGGGGTCTTCATACCCGTGTAATCAGCAATTTTTGTACCGGTATACTATAATAATATAGGCCTTTTTTTGAATGTTAAAAAAATGACAAAATAAAAATATGTATTATAGGCCTAATGCAATACCGTAAAGCCTCGAATTGAAGCCTAAAGTATTAAAAGAACACAATTAAGGAAATAATCAGCAGTAGGGCCTTAGTCACAAATGAATGAAAGGCCTAATTACATTCGTTAAAGTTGCAATGAGGAAAAAATATTCCGAATGACACCATCTTTCTTTTTAAAGTACATTAATTTGACAATTAGACGTTCAAACTATTATATACCGCGAACTCGACATACACTGTGGATATGCATGTATGGCGTAAAGGACATGAACTGGGGCTGCAGCCACCCCACATTTCGGTTTGGACACCGAGTGCATGGAAAAAATAAAAAGTGAAATAGAAAAAAATAGGGCTATGGAATTATAATACAATACTGTTCCCGATTACATGACTATTGGGAATGTCGGAGAACCATTTTATGCACGATTTGTGGATTGGGACACTTGGTTTCCGGGGAGAAAATCCTTTGCCAATGTTTCGATACGATTTTATCCATAGTTAGGCCTATTTTTGGTCAGGAGTTTCGCGCAACCCTCAGAAAGGTACCAAGTTTGGGTTGCGATAATTTGAGGGGAAACCAAGTCTCGGTATCTTAGTGACGGGTATTGGCAGAGAAAAATATTTTAGATTTAACTTCTTTAGCATCAAAAGAACACCTCGTACACATAATTACGGCATAATTCGGATTATGTAATAATAACTTGGTCATAATTTAAATAAATGTCAATAATGCGACGGTTGAAATCATATTCTCGTTCAGTTTCCTTTGAGTGTCTCGAAATATACCCTACAGGAGATTGTTAGCGTGTTATTGGCCTATAAATACATGAAGATTGATTAATATAATACTTGAAAGGGAAACCTGTTATTTTACACCTTTAAATTCACAAGAGGGGAAGTAAGGATAATCCAAAACGTTATTAATCATTTAGTAGGACGCAAAAATATTTTACATTCATAATTAACTATCAATAACCGAAAGGTCCACTGATTAATCTCAGATAAGAAAGTATAATACATACTCCAAGTATTGAAATACACGCCATCGTGTTGGGATTCAATATTTCGACATTAATTATGTCATCATCAGGAATGAAAAAATTATCCATATCAGCAAGCTTATATGCACTAGTACCAAAAGTGTTTAACCAATCAAAACATTACCTCTAGTAGGTGACATAGCAGTGATTTAAACAAAAGATCAAAGCATTCTTACTCTAATGATCAAAGATACCTACAAAAACAAAGAAAGCTCTTTTGAAGCTCTGAGCCCATTGTTAAGCAAAGGGTGTAGTCTACGTATAGCGAACGCTTCTTTAAACAATAGGATAGACCAGTTTCGGGAGCTGTCTAATTATTACTAGAAAATATTAAACCTAATTTATTACTTACATTACAGACGACATTATCATTTTCAAGAGCTTTCTTTGTTTTTGTACTATTATACTTTCTTAACTATCAATAAGGTAGGGCAAATTCCGTAGACACCAAATGGCAAGATAGGCTGACTGTACTGATCTGCTAATACACACGTCTTCATTTTTGCCCAAACGTTTTTTGTTTTCTAATTTGCCACTTAAATTATTAGGTAGGCCTAATTAATTAAAAAAAAAACCTAAACAAAACAAAAGCTGCAAGAATACTGTTTAAACTAAGAACAAGCGAGGCAAAAAAAAAAAAAAAAAAAAAATACGTGTTAATTCTCTCCAATAGCGAATAAACCGCCACTACAGGATAGAAGTAACTATCGGAGGCCCAGGGAAGTAGTTGGTTGTGGCTCCTAAGAGGTGTTTTCTGTAGTAGAAAGCACTTGCAACACAGTTTAACCAAATAAATTCATGATATTTTTAACCTGGTGGTAGCCACTTTGTATGCGCTGAACCGTGGAGATCTCTAGGTCACCGGTTCAATTCCCATCGCTGCTTTCCTTGTGTTTCAGCTATAGACTGAAATACAAGTTCAATAGTGCACCGTCTTTCAGATGAGGCATTTAAGCCGTCGGTCCCATGTGGATTATGGCCCATGTGCATGTTGAAGAATGCAGTACTCTTCGAAAAGAGTAGGAGATTGTCTCCCAGTCGCCCAATCACCACCAGAAGGACCCCGCAGTACATGAGTCTTCTTCTAGACTTTCATGGGTTATCCTTGATGTTTACACAGAGTAAATCCATCGATACAACACACCTAACCAAACTTCGATGGCAGCAGTCATCCCAATGTGATTTTATTACCAAGCGTGAACGCAAACGATGAATCAAACGATATAAACGCCAACAAGTCTGTGCAATGTATTTATTATGTTCAACATTCATATCTGAAATCAAATATCTTATCATTGATGTGACGCAAAACTAAAACATGTAATATTTGTTTCAAAATTTATCATAGGTTTAAATTAAACAAAATATAATTTTTAAAATAGTTATTTAAAAAAAAAAAAATTACACCTAATAGACACTGTTTCATTCCCAACCACCTCAAATTTACAGAACATTAGTACAGCTTCATAAGAGTAGTGAAATTAACTGATGAACCTAAAAAATAAAATATAAATACAGTAGAAAAAAATGTAACATATTATAGAATTAAAATGATGATAACAAAAAATATGACCTCTCATGTTATATGGGACTGCAATAAAACACAGTGAGTATTATACATATACAGTATCTGAGGTGTTCTGAATTGCCTCTGACTCCACCCACTTACTGTATGCTCCCACCAGGGACATCAGATCCCTCGTCTGGCAAATCCTTGCACACCCCATCACTATTTTCCACTAGGTGAAGTGATAATAATGAAACTTAAATATGCCTATCAATTCATAATTTTAATTTAAATATTAATTAAGTTAAATATTTATTCTTGGGATAAACAAATATATAGTCAAAATATTGAATCCGAATTGTGTGTCTGTCTAGCCTATAGTTAGTGCCTATCTTTCTACTCTAATTAGGTTAATTCAGTAAATTCTCTGTATAACAGTGATTTAAAAGAATCTATTACCGTAATTCCAAATACTTGAGATTATTAATTACTTTTTAAAAAAGAAAAATGACATTCATATTTATTCTGAGGGTGTTTTCATCAGGAAATTTTTTTTAAGAATGATGGCGGTCGTGGGTTCAATTCCCAAATGAATTACTTTAGTACGATGACACGTCAGGTATGGCAAACCCACTAAATCTCCCGACGCAAACACCATTGGAATAACATTGCAGTACCCTCTGCTACTTGGGGATTGGATTCAACACTAGCCACTAAAACGCAAGCTCGGTGGTCTACAGGTTAAGGCACCAGGCTAGTTTTCTGGAGGTCGTGGGTTCGATCAAATCACTAACAAGATTTTGTTTCCGCAGTATGATACCTAATATGTACAGAGCATTCAGTACATAACAGGTAGGGTAAAACATAATCTCTACATTTATGTTCGTTCTTCTATTCCAGCAGCATATCTGGAATTTACAAGATATGAACATAGAACCCTAGTATTGAAAGGTGTGCAATGCAACAGCTACGCTAAAGCTCAACGAAACTATAAAATATTGTCTGGAATGTATAACCTGATCCTGAACCATGATAGCTTGATCCAAATGACGAAATTAGTAACATCAAAAAATATGGCACTGATATCGATGGGTTTATTATTATCAATATATTTAATTTTTCTTACCGGTATTTATAAATAAATATAGTAACATACTCATTAATTAATATTTGGTATATTAAACTTTCTTTTTGATAGAAGATTTATACTTTTGACAAGAAATGTCATTATGGAAGGAGCAATGGTATGTTGTGCTGACATTCTAATTCAATTGGTACACCATTTATTTAGGTAACTGCTCTCCTTCCACTGGGCCATGACAGTTGACCATACACAGGGCAACTGAATAGATAGGCTGTACAATTGGACCATGTATATAGGTAACCACCCAACTACTAGGCCATGTAGTTGGTCCATGCAGGTAAATATACCATAACTGGATGATGTATTCAAATAATTACCCCAAAAAACTAGGCAATAAATTTCTGGCGGTAACCAATTTAGCCACTTAAGGCCAAGCTACCAGACCATCAATGCTCTTAACCATTTCAACCACTAGGCCATGCCACCAGACCATCTATGCAGATAACCACTCCAACCAGTAGACTCTGGAACAGCTGCTCCTTCTTCTCCTTAAAAAAAAAAAAACAATTGGTAAAAAATTGGTCACTTACGTGACTTGCTCTATACTGATACATATCGGTTCAAGGATTGTAAATAGCGAGTTTACAGTACAAGTTTCTAAACTGGCTATAACGTTCACTGAAACCTACAACTCACTGCGCACAACGGTTATCGGCCGACGCGACTCCATAGAGACCTCAACCCCCGCACAATGAATCGTTTGTAAATGATGATCTGTTCAGACTGCCACAGGCAATCATCAGACGGTGTCGCGTCGTCTGATGCTCGCAGGGAGCAGAGTTTGATTCATCAGCCGACGGTTGCACGACGCAATGAATACAACACGTACATGAACTAAATTGTTGGTACCCTGGGGGTCACCACTGCTGAGGTTTAACACTACTCCTGGTGGTGGGTTGAGCATTGTAAAGCATATGAGCCATGCCACAAGGACTAACTGCTTCAAATACTCTCCTGAAAGGCAATAACCTCTATTTTACAGGGACAGCAGCTTCATGGAATAGAACCAGGAACACAGAGACCTCTATGGTTCAGAACAAACAGACATGATGTGATCATGTTGATAGTGATCATGTTGATAACAATGTTGATGATGAAGAAAATGATGGTGGTAATGATGTTGGTGTTAAATATGGTGATGATGTTAATTTTGATATGAAAATTATGTTGGTGATGAGGATAGTGATAACATTGGTGATGAATTTGGTGATGATGTTGATATAAAAATTATATTGGTGATGAGGATGGTGATAATGACAGTGATGACATTGGTGATGAATTTGGTGATGATGTTGATTTTGAAATAAAATGAAAATTATGTTAGTGATGACACTGGTAATGAATTTGTTGATGATGTTGAATTTGATCTGAAAATTAAGTCAGTGATGAATTTGGTGATGATGCTAATAGAATATGGAAATTGTTGGTGATGAGGAAGGTGATGATTTTGGTGATGAATTTGGTGATGATGCTGATTTTGATATAAATCTATGTTAGTAATAACATTGGTGATAATGTTGGTGCAAAGGTGCTGTCAAGGTTTGCCCGAAAGGTGATAAGTTGGTGAAAATGTTGATGTCTGTGATGATGTTAATGATGATGTCAGTGATGTTCTGGTGAATGTACTGTACTGCAAAGTTATCATGACAATGAAATATATAGAAATTCATTAAAAACATGATGAAGAGAAGATGAAAACCTGGTTAAGTTTATCATACCTTCAGCAATAGTCTGCAACTTTGTTTTCTCATCTGCGCTGAGTTTCAGCATCGTTGAGATGACAGGTATCAATTGTGTACGTTCATCACCAACTGGCAGTGTCAAGAACTGTCAAACAATCAATTACACAATCAATCAATGTGATGATATGTTATACTACAGTACCTTTGGTGAATGATTTTGTCATCAATCAACATTTTCTAATGGTAACTAAACACTCTCTAATGTTTCATGTACTGTATTCATTTATATGAATATTACAAAGTGTTATTATTATTATCATTATTTGCAGTATTATTAAACACTAGCCTTTTTTACTGTTTACATTTTATCATTGTTGTTTATACCTCTGTTGTTATGTGGCGACTTTATATGAAGAAGCTGAAAAAGAATATTTAATCACAGCACTCTTTAATGATACTTTCAGATTAACAGTCACCCCATTAGTGACGCCAGTATTTGCTCAACATTTGGGAGGGGTGATGTCTGCTACAGGAAGGTATTAATGGGTGGGGCCAGTGGTTGTGATGATACTCTAGGAGGGATCCACGAAAGCTCAGACAAATTTAGGGTTTTGAAAGGCCTAATTTATTCAATCAGTGTCTCACAAAATTTGTCCACCACTTTGTCGGTTAACGCTGAACTATTGTCATTAAAATGATAGACCCTACCAGGCAACATTTATTGACAAACTATCATGGAGTACTAAACTATTATATTTTATATCACTGGTGACCCTACAAAATATTTTGGCGAAATTAATTAGGGTCGCGACCCATAGTTTTAATAACAGGGCGTCTATGCAAATTGTAATCATTCTCAGTGTCTCATATATCATTCTATTATTTATACACCATGCAACACAATTTCTTACATGTTTTTATGATCACTTCTTTATGATCCAAGCACACTCACAAATTATCTCAATTATAGTTATACTTTAAGCAGCATCTTCAACTGCTCCTATTATTTCTTTCATTTATTATCCTTCCTTAACACTTCACCACAAATCAGTATTTGTAACAACTACCAACCAATCATAATCATCAATAATTCAGTGCATCTGTCGACGTTAATTTCTGAACTCGAGACACCGTGCTATTTAGTTAATTCTTCAACGGATCAATTTATCACAGTGACTACATTTTCTCACCTTGATGACAATATTCTTCAGATATTCTAAATTAGAGATCGCATTTTCACGTTGTTGATTACGTTCTAGTCGACGAATTTCACCCTTCAATACTTTTGCTTGTTCGGTTAGCCGTAGAATTGTTGCTTCGTTCTCGTTGGTAATCTGAAAAACAGAAGGAAGGTAGAGTTCAAAATTTGGGATTTGTATTTAAAAAAGTAATAGACAATACAGAACAATTATTGGTCTTGCAAAAGCAAAATTACAGTACAGAAACTGCTTAATTGTTGGCAAACCATATAGAAAAATCTATGCAGTATACAGTACAGATATTAAAAAAGGCACTGTATATTGAAAAACAACAATAAACACTAATTAAAAACAAAAAAAATGGTATATTGAAGTCTGTTCTTTAAAAAGTCTGTTACTGTAAACATTCTATAAAAATATTTATTTCATTTCATTCTTTATTCTTTATTCAGATAATAGTTGAAAGGTGTTATGAGTTAATGAAAAAGTTAAGATAATAAATAGTTGCATTTTATTTCAGTTATGTGAAAATTTGTATAATACTTATATAATCATTTTTAACAAGATAATTCACATTTTGACCTATAAGAAATAAGCATCAATGAAAGAATTTATTTAAATGTTCACAAATTTTGTTCATTAATATTCAAGGTAAACCAGTAATGTGGTTAAATGTGGTTAAAATGCACACATTATCCAGGGTAATCTATCTTGAAAGAATGTTGGCAATATTCTTTTTATCCAGGTACGGTAAAAGCATTCATGAAACACAAACATTAAACGTAAATTATTGATGACACTTTGGAAAAAACGTTAAAAAAAAGGAGAATATTCATGAAATAGACAATCTTATCGCCATGTCCATTTGCTATTAGATACAAATAGAATACTGAAAAAAAAAAAGAAAATGTATTTATTTTCACTGGAAGATATTTTATTTTCATTAACTTTTTTTGGAGACCATTAGTTTCTTCCTCAACCCTGGGATTCTTAATTTGTTTACTTTGATATTTTCCATCCTACTTGAGCACCTGTCATTATGTACAAGACGGCCTTTAATATTACGGAGCTTGCTATTGCACGACGACGGCAGGACGTAGAATTATTTGATAATTTTTAGTACATTTGCACATTTACATTTGGGTTTTTTTTTTTGTGTTAACGTGAGGCGCTATATAAATTCCGAATTATTATTATTAATATTATGTGAGAACATTCAGTTCTCGCAGTCACATGGATTCAAGTGCAGTGGATAAGTGTGCTTTTTAAGTCTTATCATTATTATATGTTACATAATCAGCTTTGCTAGAATGATATTATAATATACATGCAAACATAAAATTTTGGGGCTATAAATCAGGGGCAGATTTGGGAGTGGGGGGCAGTAGGCTTGCCCCAGCCCCTCCCCCTTTTGGAAAGTTTTAAGAAAAAAAAGGAAAGAAAGAAAAAGAAATAATTGATCGCTCAAAATGCCTCAGAGATTATTTTCGGGTGTCTAGAAAACAATAATTTTGCAAGGGGCATGCCCAGGACTCCCTAGGGTAGTGTTGTTCCTTTCTTCCCCCACTTTCGGATATCTCTGGATCCGGCCTTGTAAGTAATATATAAATTAAAATACTAAGTGATATTATATACCTTAACTGTTTCCTTGTGATATAATTATTCATGTGAAATTAAAATCTTTCAGTTAAGCTGTATAATATTATATTTTCTTTGTCTAAAACATATATGTTGGACTGTCTCCAGCGTACATTTCATATGTGAGTTTCGATAATGTGTCTAGATCTTAGTCAATAATTCCCAGAAGACAACATGAAAACCAAGAGACCTATCGGAAAATCAATGATAATGTTGCAGAGTCAGATTCCAATACTTTCTTCTTGCTATATAAATAAGGGACAATCTTAAAAAATACTGCTGGAAAGAAATGTATATAAGGGATCTTATATATAAGCTTTGTTTGTGTAATTGTTGTCTATATACATATAGCACATAATAATTTTTATGTGATAAAACTAACATTTAAGGAGAGGAAATAATTAACAATAGACAAAAAAAAAACAGAAACAAAAAAAAACTTTAAAATGTTCAGTCATCTGTTAAAAGTTGTTTTTTATAATTTCAATATTGCCAAATATGTTAATATTTTTAATGTGAATCTTTATATATTCATATATTTATTTTTATAGTACTATTTTTATAAATTAGGTAATTTAGTGAATTTTGTATAGCAAGAATAAATAAGTACTTGTTAATTTGTAACTGTAAATAATATCTTCAGATTAAAATGAAATCAACAAATCAGCATAAAATATAAACCACGAAATAAATCACACATAAAATTAAATTGCATTTCCAGATTTTATCACAGTAGACCAAAAAGATTAAAATTAAGGACGTAAGAGCTTCTCAGTGACCACATAAACAGATGCCGAGTAGGCAACGTTGATTAGAAAGGAAAGAATGGTTAGAATTGGATTATATTAATAAGAAAGTGCAAGACTGAAGAAAAAAATAAATGAATGAGATGGGAAATGCAACAAGGGGAAAGAATATGGAAGGCCTTGATGCTATGTGTTATAATCCCCCTAAGATTCTGAAAATAAAATAAAAAATGTTGAAAAAAAGAGAAAACTATATTCAAAATTGAGTCTGAGAGTGCTATTTCCAGCCAACTAGGGGTGCCATAGCCCCCCACTTTCGGATATCTCTGGATCCGGCCCTGTAAGTAATATATAAATTAAAATACTAAGTCATATTATATACCGTAACTGTTTCCTTGTGATATAATTATTTATGTGAAATTAAAATCTTTCAATTAAGCTGTATAATATTATATTTTCTTTGTCTAAAACATATATGTTGGACTGTCTCCAGCGTACATTCTATATTTGAGTTTCGATAATGTGTCTAGATCTTAGTCAATAATTCCCAGAAGACAACATGAAAACCAAGAGACCTATCGGAAAATCAATGATAATGTTGCAGAGTCAGATTCCAATACTTTCTTCTTGCTATATAAATAAGGGACAATCTTAAAAAATACTGCTGGAAAGAAATGTATATAAGGGACCTTATATATAAGTTTTGTTTGTGTAATTGTTGTCTATATACATATAGCACATAATGATTTTTATGAGATAAAACTAACATTTAAGGAGAGGAAATAATTAACAATAGACAAAATAAAAAAAAAAAAAAAAAAAAACAGAAACAAAAAAAAAAACTTTAAAATGTTCAGTCATCTGTTAAAAGTTTTTTTTATAATTTCAATATTGCCAAATATGTTAATAATTTTAATGTGAATCTTTATATATTCATATATTTATTTTTATAGTACTATTTTTATAAATTAGGTAATTTAGTGAATTTTGTATAGCAAGAATAAATAAGTACTTGTTAATTTGTAACTGTAAATAATATCTTCAGATTAAAATGAAATCAACAAATCAGCATAAAATATAAACCACGAAATAAATCACACACAAAATTAAATTGCATTTCCAGATTTTATCACAGTAGACCAAGAAGATTAAAATTAAGGATGTAAGAGCTTCTCAGTGACCACATAAACAGATGCCGAGTGCGCAACGTTGATTAGAAAGAAAAGAATGGTTAGAATTGGATTATATTAATAAGAAAGTGCAAGACTGAAAAAAATAAATGAATGAGATGGGAAATGCATCAAGGGGAAAGAATATGGAAGGCCGTGATGCTATGTGTTATAATCCCCCTAAGATTCTGAAAATTAAAAAAAAAATGTTGAAAAAAAGAGAAAATTATATTCAAAATTGAGTCTGAGAGTGCTATTTCCAGCCAACTAGGGGTGCCATAGCCTTGAAATTTTGTAATCTCTACCCCCCCCCCCCCACTAACTATGGTGCTGCTAATGTAGTATGTAACAGTACCAGGACTATTCTATTTTGAATTCCTGGATTCACCACTCATGTTGGGTGACAAACAACAGCTGGAGTAACTGAACGTCATATGTTTATGGTGATGTTGCATTGTTTGGCCAGCAACCTCCCCCCTCCCCCACACACACCTTTAGTCCGCCATTGGTTTGTGTCACCAAAATTAGCAGGGACATTTGGAATGATACTAAATGAGATTTCCTGTCAATCTATGTCAGTTGCAAGCTGCTAACGTCAAACAAATGCTACAATTACCATGAAATATATCGAATTATTTAAGCAAGATTGGCTGTGGATTCGAACAACGACCTTTGAACTGTTTCTGAATCATTGACTGATATTCAATGCGAAGGAGGTAACAGTAGGTGACAATTCAAATTAACTCTCATAGATCGAGTAATAAAGAGATAAAGATGGTGCATGTCAATTAACCAGAAGAGATTTTGTACGCCTACGCACTCAAACTTTTGATAAATCTAAATTTAAGTGTGTTAGAAACTATGCTCTAAAAAGCTGCTGAATAGATCTTTAACTTTAACAACTTTATGAAACATGTGGATCCAGATGACAGATGTGCGTAGGTGTTCCACAACCACACACATAAAAAAAATTGATGTGAATTATAGTAAGCAATTAAGATAGTGAATTTTACTGTTTAAGTTTAACACTGTAGCTTAACATAGGCTGTTAGTCTTTGAGCATGAAGTTAGACGAAAGTAGGTCTAAATGTTTAAGTTGAATAACTCATCTCGCAATAAATATGACGACACAGCCTGCACACTTGATCCAACAAGATAAGTACGAGCGAAATCTTGTAACAAGAAATAAGCCTCATCGCAAGTTTCCTTACGTATCTCTCAATGGTTATTAACGTCAATTGCTGGTAAGTAAACTACAAAAATTTGACTCAAAAAATTTGAACAGAATACGAGATGAAATGAATGCCGGATGGCATATAATGACCGGTTCATTGCTTCAACTATAACTAATATGCCAAAAACGATTATGCCTCCGATGACAGTGTTAGTAAATAAACCCGGTTTGAATATTCGACAACTAATACAGATTATTTCTCCTTGACAACGGCATCGATATCATATTGACAATTCTGATACAGCAATTAAGAGAAGCAACACTATATGTCGATTGGACACACTCTGCAGTTAACTCTTTACCTCATGTCCTACTTATTACTTCTCGGGGGAATGTGGTTTTTTTATTATCACAGGTTGATTTTCTGTAAGATATTTGTCTATAAATTCATAAACAAATAAACAAATAAACAAAAAAAAATCTGGACATATCAAAATACAATTATTCCCTCAATGAATATCTAGCTCTGTTATAATGATTAAATTTAAGTAGCTAATCACCCAAAACTTGAAAATAATACTGTATATAAATATACAATAATGATAATATAATTGATAATAATTAAAATAAATTTTATAATTAATAAAACAATTACAATGATAATAATAATAAATAAGATTTGTATAGCGTGCATATCTATTTGAAGAAATGCTTATGGTGGTTGAGAAAATAAAGAGCGAAAAAAGAAAAGTTTGGAAAACTAAACAAGTAAATATCCTGTGAATTAACAAAAAGCAGAGGCACAAACATTACCACTCCGTTTACCAGCACTTTGAAGCCCAAGTGAAAGCTCACTGGTTCATGACTATTGCTGGTTCATAATATTGTTACAAAAAAACAAGTATAACACTGTTCAAATTGCTCACTTAAACGGAACAGAACAAAAAGGAAGATACCAGAAAAATGCATACAGTCTAACAAGCTTCCAGCATGCTTACTGGCATCACCAGGTGAAGCCCATCCTGGACACCAAGTTTTATTACTATTAGTTTTATCAGTTTTTGCTGATTTACTATTTAGTTTTAGCTGATTATATTTGTGACACAGTGGAAACGGTTTGGTTTCCCAACCTTGAGTTCGGGATTTCAATCCTGCACTGTGTATTTGCTTGTGTCCTTGAACAATACACATAATCTGCATTGCTTCAGTCTAACCAGTTAACTCACCGTATTCCACTCTAAATGAGTGGTGCAAGAGGCTGGTAGGCCAGTGGTGGCCCTCTGCTAGCCATTCTTGTCTTCTCAAACTGTCGTTTAAAATCAGTTGTATCAATGGGTACCAGCAAGTTACTGGGAGTAACCTGCGGTGGACTGGCCTCCCGCCCGGGGGAACAACACATCTCATCCGCTTCACGCTACTTGAAACTGGGGATAAACTGGAGGCCCACAATCCGGAAATGGGTGTGGTTATGAGGGCGCCCTAGTGGCTCAGCAAGGATTTACATTTTTTATTTTTATGATACTGATGATAATATGTGGTCTCTCCACAAAATGAGGCATTATGAGGTAAATGGTGTGATACACAAATTATATCAATATAATATAATAAAAGGTAATTTTTGGATATTATTACAGTATTACAATACAAGGAACAGTCAACTTTATTGTAAAAATATAAATTTTGATATTTGTTGTACCTTTTTGTACTGAAGAATCATAAATACATAAGATATATATTAAAGTTAAATAAAAAATTCTTAGTAAACAAAAATGTATTTATTGATTTATGGTAGCTGTCACTGTATCATATGATCATAATCTCAGCATGTGTCAACTTTGACCTACTCAACTAGGAGATATTTGCATACACTGTACATCACTGATCACAATTTCATCTGAAATCTGATTTAAATTATTAACATTTTAACCTGACAACTGGCATTTCCAATCTGTTTATGTTACTATTTAAAAAAACTTAAGATTAAGATTTCATTTGGGGACAAGTTTGTGCATCTGTGGAAATGACATACAAATCCTTTATAATTTATAATAATAAATAATTAATATTAAATTTAAATTATTCATTTAAGATTTTGCTGCCATTTTAATGATAGAAATTTTTACAATAGATTGGCACTAGGGTGGTAGGGTCAACTAAACAAAAGTATATCAAATCATAATAGAACACAAGAGGGCAGCATTTCATCAGAAATTTTAAGACTAAAAAAAATTCCAATCATGGCATTATTAAAATTTATTGATGCCTCAGTGTAAATTAATATCCACATAAGTCAAGACTTTTATTATACCTAGTTTTGCAAGCCTGTTACCAATCAGGATAATTTCAAATGGAAATAAATTTTATAATTTTGGACAGCTGTTGCTGAATTTTTAAAATAAATGAAATGTTTTTATCATGTCCACTGCTACCAAAAATTCCTCTAAGGAATTTGTATTCCCTCTTCATAATTATATGATTACAAAACATTTATGAATCTGATTACTGAACCATGTACATCGCATATCACTTTATTTACGACCATGTGAAACATCTCGGGAGAAGGCCTGAGGGCACTATTTATTTTTTTTTTAGCTAACACATTACATTTTGTTAATAACAAAAAATTATATTTTTTTTTCCACATAGATATTTTTTCAAAACTAATTTGCTACATTAAAAAATAATATATACAGTAATCTTAATATTTTTCCACACTAATCTGACGATTTTTCAAAAATAAAGTCTGCTAAACAAGGTAACATTACATACATAAAAATACTCAACAGACAATTACATCTTATAAAAATAAAAAAATAAATATGCATATAAACTAACATGGTGAGGTTAGTATATGAGGGGAGGACAATTCCTTGCATTTACCTGTTACTCATTTAAGAGAATGTAGATTACATGACCTGTTTACAAAGTATAACTCATTTAATAGTTGCAAAGAATCATTTAAAATCTTATTTAATTTACAAAAGAAAGCGACTGATGCTATGGACCTGCATGGATGCGTGGAATTATTCCAAATCTGATTAAACACCTTAGTTATATACACATATCGTTGATATATTCAACAGCTTTTCTTATGTTTTCTTCATCCTTTCTTAGTCTACAAAGTTTATTCTCATCTCTCCATAAAAGAAATAATTTTTTTAATTTTTTCTATCTTTACAAGACAATGAGAAATGCAAGTCTACAATTCATAATCTTGTTAAATACTTAAATCAATTAAACAATACAATAAAAATAAGGCAGTGGCTATTATTACACCAGCCTAAACCAATTCCAAAATCTGATTTGATGTTAATGTCTAATCCAATCAACAAATGCAACAATTAATCAGAATTAAGGGTTGGTTTTAGATTGGTGTCACAATAGCCACTGCCTAAAAGTAAATATTAAATGTTCCTACATGACCACTGACCTCAGTAAAGTGTTCAACCCGTTTGAGGGTTGTGTTTAGCTGCTGTCGTAAGTTATCCTCTTCTGCCGTTGAACTCTCGCTGATGCTGAGATGATCATCACTGTTTGTGCTCAAAAGCTGAGCAAATGGCATCATGGGAGTTGTAGGCGTTGATGGGATGTGGAGTGTAGAGGGCTCACTTTCTGGATGCTCCATTCCCTGCGAAAAACACAATAAACCCAATCAAATATTTTGATGTGATGAATACATAAAAAATAGGTAAAACGAATTGATGATCAATAATGGCGAAAATTTTGATGATGATGATGAAAATGATAATGGTTGCGATTATGAGGATGATGATGTTGATTATGAGGATGATGATAATGTTGATGGTATTGATGATAATTGTGACGATGATGCTGATGATGAATAGCGGTGATGATAATGTTGATTATGATGATGAAGATGGTGATGGTGATGATGATGATGATGGTGATGATGTTGATAATGATGATGGTAACAATGTTGATGATAATAATGAATAATGGTGAAGATAAGATGATAATAGTAAAAATGATGATGATCATGATATTGTTGATGATGAGAAGAATGTGAAGATGATTAGTGGTGGTGCCAATGGGTGTCAGGATGGGTGCCAATGGGTGAGGGGGTGGAAATTCCTGGGGTAATTATAATGTACCTCTCCTTGTTCTCTTTCCTCTGGTCGTGGACCTATCATCATATCCTGGTTGTCCTTCACTGGTCTTGCCATCACTGCCTGCTGCTGCTGCATCTGCTGCTGTTCCTTCTGCATCCTGTACATCTGGTTCTCTTGGCTTTCAATCTGTTCCTGTAGACCCCGCATAGTCCGACTGTGTTCCTCCTGAATCCTCCTAATCTCATCCTAAAATTTTAAAGCAATTCTTATGAACTATTGGTAGAAAGAAATTTTAAACCTTTCTGGAAACGGATCCAAAATCTTATACTACACACTTGAAATGATTTTATTTTAAATTAATTTATATTTTGTATGTGATTTATATTTTATTTTGTTGCAAAGTTGAATATTTAATTTCCAAAACCCATAAATTCTTGATAAATTAACTGATTGATTAATAATAGAGGCTTGCCATCCCGAAACCAGTGTAACGTCGCTAATATTAGTAATTAGCATAAGAATGTGGCAGTGTTGTATACTTTAGTACAGAGAAGCTGTAATACTTTTGCTCATAACTTTGGCAATAATAAGTCAATTCCAGTAAATGACCCATCATTTTAAAGTTTATAATGTGGAGAATATGAATATATTTAAAGGTCAATTTTCAGGTTTTTGTCAATGGTGTTGGTTTTGGCATGGCAAGCCCTAATTGGTTAATGGTTAATTTATTGATAGCATATTTGAATTAATTAACTAACTAATAGAATAATTGATGGATTAAATGATAGACTGAATGACTAAATGGTAATTCTATTGATTGATGGATTGATTGAAAGATTGATTAGATGATAAATGACAGGTAGATAGATAGACAGGCAGATAGAGATAAATAACATTTTTGTATAGACAAATGTCTTGCCAAGTTCTTCCAAATTTGTAATAAAACTAAACAGAGATACAGGGGACAATGCAAGGTGACTTCCTGCAAAATATAATGTATTTAACCACTGTTTAAAGGGCCCTTTCTCTTTTCTTCAGTGTTGATGTAAGTAGATAGGCTTTTAGTTGCAACTCGAGTTTAACATACAGCAGAATGATTATGCGCTTTTTTTTCTCTGGAGCCTGGCTTTAAAATGCATTAACCTTCATCCAGTAGGGATGCTGGAGACTATTACTATCAACTGCATTTGGTGGGCTTATAGACAGATAAAACATTTTTAAAAAAGCATTACCTTGAATGTTTGAGTAATGGATTCATTTTGATGACCCATCTGCTTAATGGTTTCTGTCTGTTCCTGTAAGGTACATTGACTCTCAACACGCAGCTTCTCAACTCTAAGCAATCAAATAAACACATTTTATAGGCAATTTCTAACAAAATTAGCTCAAGTAATCCTTATCTGCATTGTAAAACTCCATAAATTAAATTATCTTTTAATAGATCTATTCCATTACTTACCTTACCTTTACTGGATCCTCTTTATGAATCATTTTCTTTTACTAGACCATTCTTGCAACTTTCTACATTTCATTATACAGTACACATCTCATTGATGTTCTCTATACCTTTTACACTTTTACTTGTCAATTCTACATCATTACATTTCTACTGGATATCTATATTTTATTTTATACCTCTACTGAATCCTTTATATTTTTCATTTTATACTCCTACTGAATCCTTTCTATATTTCATTTTATACTTCTATTGAATCATTTAATTACCTCATATTACAATTCTACTGGATCATTTTAATTTATTATCATTCTATAAGATATAGTTCTTCACTCCCACATCTAATGCAACTATTACTTTGGACTTGCCTTTCTTTCCAAACTCTTTCCTTGTACTGCATGTCAGTTACCATGTCACTGTGGCGCTGTAGCAACCGATCATGCTCATCCTGAAGGGCCTCAAGCTCCTCATTGGCTGATTTGAATTTATCGCTATGGGTCAAATACAAACATTAAGTGATGCTACTGGAGGCAACAGCAATGACAATAACAAATAAAGTAAGAGAATTTTATTGTAATTGTATGCTTACCGTATACATTTGAATAAACGCCCCAGTGCATTTATTGTTGAGAAGGGTTTTTGTCGGGCGTTTATTCGAGGAAGGTGTTTATTCGAGGGAGGTGTTCATTTATTTTTTAGTGTAAAATGGATACGTATATACTCAAATAAATGCCTCTTAATTTCACTGTAAATGTGAAACTACTACACACAATTACCATCAAATTATGTTACTGCGTTGATGAAAACATAATGATCCCAGCCAGGTTAGAAAAAATGTAATTCTACTGGAGTAGAACATTAAGAAAATAATGTTGAGAATGATGTTGCTTCCATAAGTTTTATTTAATCATTTAGGGGCATTTATGCAAGGAAAAAATAAACGGGGCAGCTATTCAAGGGAGGCGTTTATCCAAATGAGACTTTTGAGGGGGCGTTTATTCAAAGCTATTTGAATAAATATGGTAATATAGCCTTAATCTTAAATATGTAATAATGTACCTATTTTACTTTAAAGGTGATATGAAATGGAACAGAAATAAATGATTAAAATGTTTAGGACTTTCCAGGTAACTGACTAAATAACGTTTAAGTGATATCAAACCAGAATGCAGGCTCAGCCTCAATTATCATTTGATCCACTAGGAAACCAGTTCATCATTCTTACTTTGTTTCTTGAAGCTTTTCCTTCAGTTGCTGGATGACCTGTGTTAACCGCTCCTTATCTTCCCTCTCTGCCTCCAGACTCGCATGTGATGCTTCACGGCTCTTCTGCTGCTTTAGAACCGTATGTACTCTGGCCTATGAAAGGAATTCATAATTCGTCACATGGCAAAAATTAACTTATTAATTATCTAATTAGAATGTTTATTTATATAAACTTATTTTATGGCAAACAGCAAGCAAAGCCCTTGGAAAGGATTGGATATATTTTTGTAGGTTATCCTTGATGTTTACAGGGAATAAATCCAATCCAATCTAACCCAATCCAGTTGCTACAACCAGTTTAATAAACTGAGCAAATAGAATATGGTAAGACCATGGATTGGATTGAATTTCTTTGGTGTGACACCTGTAAGTACTAAGACTCATTTACAGTGGGACCCTACTGGTGGTGAATTTGGGCAGAGCACCATGAGACAATCCCCTACTCTTTTCCGAAGAGTGTACTGTGTTCTTTAACGTGCACATAAGCCATTTTGCACACAGGACTAACAGCTTAAACGTCTCATTTAAAAGCGCTTCTTGAAACAGGCTTTTCATCCCTCCAGCTGAAATTTAAGGAGTGCAGCGATGGAAATTGAACTGAAGACTCAAGAGATCTCCACAGTTCAGTGGACACAGTTCAGCCAACTGAGCTATGTGCTCCAACAATGTTCTTATAGCAGAGCACTATAACTCAGTCAGCAAAACTGGTGGTAGCTTCTGTACATCTCCTGAACCATGAGGATCCTTCGGCCTCTGACTCAATTCCACCGCTGCTGTTTCAGCGCGAGGGCTAAAATGCAAGTTACATTAGTGTACAGTCCTTCAGAAGAAACAATCAATCCATTGGTTCTCTATGCTTTAAGGCTCACCTGAGATGGCTACGCAACTCCATATAAAAAAGAAGAGTGAGGATTCTGCCAGTGTGGGGATTCCCCAAGTGTACAGAACAATTACCACCCACAAATTTAGAAAATTAACCTTCATTGGTATCTTTCTACTATTTTCCATACCTTATAGCCTTCATATTCTTCCTGGCAGGCGATATGCTCCATCCGTGATGTTTCTAAATCCTCTTTTAAGGCTGAGATTTTGTTTTCCAAACGACTGATAGTTCTTACATTAGCATTACTTGAAGTTTTCAACTTTAGAATTAAAAACAAAATGGGGGAAAAACATCATTAAAGTTCTTTAATTACTAACATTTTTAAGGTTTATGTTTTAATCTTAATTAAAAAGAAAAATTTTAAATAATAGCTCTGTCGGAGCAAATCTACCATGTTAACCAAGTATTTTACCTGGTCTTGGAGCTTCACGTTTTCTGACATGATCCCTGCAATTTGAACTTTCAACTCCTCTTGACTCTGTGTCATGGCCTCAAGTTGACCCTGCAGTGCTGCTTCACTACTTCTTTGATCATTTTCCTAAAAAATCATTGAACAAGACAACTGTATGAGGGCAGCAGACATAAAAAAAATCAAGATCTGACAGTAAAAATTAATTAGGTACTTACACAGAGTATAGAATTTCAAAGAGTTCCGACTGCCCTGACTTTTTATACACGCAATGAAAAGGTAAAAAGATGGGGTGCCCCATGTACAAATGCCTTTTACGTTCTATTGAAGGACACCCCTATTGTCTGTGGTAGTAATTTTTTTGAGATAGGATTGCGTTCCAATGAAACCTCGATAGTCGGACCTCTTCCAGTTCTATACTATTTGGTACATATATCAATTAATGATTCAAACCAAGTAGAATTTAATAACCTCACAGTTCAAAATTCAAGGTGGGTGTCTAATATGGCACTACTAGTATTACCAAGGCCATGTAGTTCACAAAATGACTCTAGTGATTGGGTGGCTGATCTTTAAGATGATATTCAGAAGGGCACTGATCTAATTACCATAAGAGGCCTATTAATTTCTTTGTTGCACTCGGGGCATATCCAAGGGTAATGACATGGGGATGGGTTGATAAAGAACACGATGAGAAAGTGGGGAGGAAGATGAGAATGTGAGGAGATCATTGGTAAAGTGGGGAGTGTGATAAAAAGTTGGGGTGATACAGTTGTGGGTGTAAGATGAGTTGATTTTCAAATCCTACCACTTTCTTCGATTCTGAAAGATCTTTCTTTGTTTTAACTAACATAGACTTGAGTTTATTTGCTCGCTCGTCAGCTTGAGTACGTTGGTTATCGGTTACTTCTGTAAAAAAAGAAATTAAGCTCATATTAGTTTAAGCAATGGCACAACAAGTTGTTCTTCCAAGTCCTGGAAAATTTGTCATAGGGGTCAGAATGACACATGCACTAATTAAAATTAATATCACAGCATTAATTATGAAAAGAAAGATGCTTGGGTGGTTTGGGTCCTGGTTAATATGCTATTGCTGCACCAAAAGATTGATAGACAATATGTCTGCCTTACTGTCAACATAAGAATGGAAAAACTTTAGGCCCTAGTTGAGAAAATTTGATAAATTCCCAAGAAATCTTTGAGGAATTCTAATTCTTGCAGAAAATGATGAGTTTTCTAGTCACTGGAAGATGAACCAAACATCATTGAGACTCCAGTGCAATCCTGAAGACCTGGAGGTCTGAATTTAGTATACATGAAGCCACGTAGATTTTTAATTTCCCAACACAAAAATGAGGACGACTCTTGGGCGTGTGTGCGCAGTATAAACATGCTAGGACGAATCGGACAGTTTTATTTTTGTTGTAGGGGTGTTCTTAGAGGAACAAAGGCAATTAGTAGATTATTCTGTTAAGTATTCACAAATTAGATTTTAAATTTTTAGTTTGAATGTGCCAACTTTAAAGGCGTGCTGAAATGAGTGCTTTTACTCACCAAGCTCTTTCTGCATACTCTCGATCCTTTTCTCCAGTCGTGCTATCTCGGTTGACATGTCAATGACCTTTGACTCCTTCTCCTGTATCGTCAAGTTAAGACTTTCAACAGTTCTCTCATAGTCTGCCATTTCTAGATCCATCATGCTATTCTGACTAGCCTCCTATAATACAAATTTCAGAAAATTTAAACTTTAACATTTGAAGTTATGTAAGACATAAATTGATAGGTCTCTTTTATTACAAAAGCTGTATCATATTGTAAATGATGTCAAAGTGTCATTGAAATGAGAAGGCTAGTTAGCAACAATAGTAAATAAGTAGCAAGTGAAGTATACTATATCAATCACAGGCAGTGTAAGTTGTAAATGGTGGGGTTAGGCAAATTCAGCCTGCTCTGCCCATGGGCAAGATTCTCTTAAAAATTTTTTGCACGCATTGCAGTTGATCTGGGCTTAAAAGAGAACTAGCAAAATGATTTTTTGTTCTAGAGACTATTTTTGATATGTCATTAATAATAGAATCAACCTTAAAATCGTTTTCTGGCCTTTTTTTAATGAAGTTATAGGCGATTATATACGATTTTACTATGACGTCACTGGCGAAAAAGTAACAAAAGATCGTGTAAATAGCGCCGCGTAGGGTATCCGCTGCGTACGATCTTTGCGTGTATGCTGTAACCATGGCTGTAAATTGTGATTGTTACAGCATGCACGCAATGATCGTACGCGGCGGATACCCTACGCGATGGATACCCTACGCGGCACTAATTACACAATCTTTTGTTACTTTTTCGCCAGTGACGTCATGGTAAAATCGTATATAATCGTCTATAACTTCATAAAAAAATAGCCAAAAAACGATTTTAAGGTTGATTCTATTATTAATGGCATATCAAAAATCCTCTCTAGAACGAAAAATCATTTTGCTAGTTCTCTTTTAAGCCCAGATCAACTGGCCCTACAGAGCACAACAGCACACATCGCCTTCTAAAAGCAAAGTCATATTCTGTTTACAATGTTGAATTACTGGCAAAGTGCAGGCTAACAGCGCACTGCCTGTGATTGGTAAACCAAAGAAAACGGGAAGAAGACAGAAGAGAATGCATGATCTAAACAAAAAATGCTGAAGGAAGAAAGAAATATGAAATGAATGAGAGTAGAATAATATAATGATTTTGAGAACCACCACCACAGAAGACTGACAGCAGAATGAGAAGGAAGAATGACAAGAGGAAGACAATCAGAAGATATCTAAAATAAAATAAAGGAAAGACAGATAAGTAAGCCCATGATAGTTTAAAAAAGTGACAAAATAGTAAGCAACATTGAACAACCTCCAGGGCTTTGGTTAGTTGTGATGTGGTAACTTCATGTCTCTCCTTCTGCTCAGCTAATGTTTTTTCCAGCAATTCAATTTTGGAACTTGCCTATAGAGAAAAAAAAATGATGTTGATAATAAATAATCTTCAGCATATGAATACAATAGATGGCACATTTTCATTTTTGTAAAGCTAAAATGGAAACGGAGTACTTACTCAGAACGTTTCGATCCCTATCAGAGATCTTTATCAACTGACAGCTAGGTGTTATTTAGCTTGGTCATGACGTCATCTGTTAATGACGTCGTACAAAAACCAGCTATTACAGACCATGCCATACATCACAATCACGTACCAAACTGGTAGGTAAACATACAAGCAAAAGAACCCAAACAGAAAGATAGGCAGATCAGAAAGTCCTTGTATATAAGGCGCAACAAAGAAAAAATCATGAACAGGGATCAAGGAGCACATGAACTCTCTCATCTGTCCAATGATCTTATAGAATCCATAACAAGCCGGGCCCTGCACAACCTTTGACCTACATCCGGAGGAGGTGTACGACATCCTCAACAGATGACGTCATGACCAAGCTAAATAACACCTAGCTGTCAGTTGATAAAGTTCTCTGCTAGCAATCGAAAAGTTCTGAGTAAGTACTCCGTTACTATTTTAGCTTTACAAAAACGAAAATTTGCCATCTATACAATTCCTGAAGCTAAATGAAATTCTTTCAAGATATGAATACAATATTTAAAATTTTTGAATGTGTCTATAAAGAGATATTTTTCCTACATGAGTACATAAATTGGTTGATCTATGTTTGTCCCCCTACAGATTAAATAGGTCACTGATTAGCCTGGGTTCCAGGCCCTAATTTTAGGTTACTCACTCTTTATTGCACTTAGTGCGCGCCATACCTAATTTAATTGGCGTCCCATACTCGATTTCTTTTTTTTCGAATTAGGGCCTGGGCAAACAATTCATGCGTACGATTTCCCACATCAAATTTGATGTGGGATATCGTATGCATGACTGATTTTGTAAATCACGTGACTGGCTAACTTCATGCATATTAATCAATCTTGGTAAACTTTCAAAATTGAAGATGCGGATGTCTCGACTAGAACAAGAACCAGCTCCCTTTTTGCTACTTATACTTGAATTAAAACAGTTAGTATAGTTCTGGCCTGCTGAGAACGACATGGACTGATAACCGTAGGCTATAGGAACCTTGCTCACCGCTAGCTGCTACACAGATTTAGGCCTTTAGGGTAGAATATTGTTAAAAAGGTAGGCCTCTGTAAGTAAGAACTTAAAAATACGCCAAGCCTCTACTAGTCTAGGCTAGGCCTACTCCTGACTCCAGACGAGGCATGATCCATCCTCCTGGAAAGTTTTGTTGTATTTGTATGGTATGCCATCTAGTGTAAGCTTAATTGTTTTTGCCATTGCCAA